ACCTCTAAACTAAGCATTGACTTCTGATTCAAACTATATGAATAAATGTCCATTTAACTCTTTAGAATAAGTACAAAAGTGTTTGAAACAATGGGCAAAATGCGTATCAACCACAAAATATGTTTCACATTTAATCTGCTTATGGTCAATGTTATCTTGGCAAGTTATATTGTATTAATCTTAATGGAGAATTAAATATAGATTGGCATTATGGATCAGGTCCCTGACATTGTACATCTTTTATTAGTACAGCATCAGCAAGAAGAGCTTTATTTTTATATTATAGAAGACCTACACAAGTGAGAATTATTTTCAGGGCTGTAATTAACATGCATACACACTCACAGACAACAAAGGCTTCTCCTTATCCAAAATAGTTATTTTCTTCCTCCCCACTATTAGCACAACAAAGCAGCATTTAACCCTTTTTATAAATTAAATTACAGTGTTTTAGTTCTGTCTTTAAAGACTAATAAATCTAAGACTTCTTCTATCATAGAAAACTTACCAAGGCAATAAACAAGAAAAACAAATGTAAGGGTTATCAGATGAGCTCACCCAAATATGTACCTGATGGTCTACTTAGTATGGCAAAAACATATTCACAAGGCCAATGGCTAGGATAATCTAACTCTTTTTTCAGATCAAATGAACAATACACAGAAAATTTAAGTTACTAACCTCTGTATTCCTCCTGGAAAAACTGTCCTCTAAACTCTGCTCAGCCAAATTATAAAACCCACCTACAGCCAGCTTTGCTAATGAAAAGGGGGTGCTTTTCTGAACAATGGAAGAATTCCTCTGCATTTAGAATGCAGAGTTCCCATTAGAACCAAGAATCAGAAATGCCAGTTTTACCTCTGTTTTTTTAATTGATATTGTCCCTGCCCTCTTCTACGGTCCAGTGAGACAGTGTTTGTGGAATGATTAAAAAGAACGTGATCAGATCAAGAGGATAGAATAATGGGAAAGGAATGCTAGGTTAGCCACAGTGCTAAGTGCTGGGAAAGACCAAGAGACTTCTTAGCCTATTGTTTTTATTCCCATCTGCTCTTTAGACATCTCACAAGACTTTGATTCTTTATTTACTTTGCTAAAAATGGGTTAAAAGTTGGTCACTTACATCAGAATTTGAGAACAAGTTACAGATCTTTTTTTTAAAAAAAGAAAGAAAATAAATTAAAAAATCCTTGAATTATATCAAGTTTCCAAAAGGTCATCACTGTCTCTGCTGTGGCCTTTTCCCCATCCCAAATCCTCTATCAATATGTCATAGTGAGTTAGGCAAAGACAAAAGAGAGGCTCAGTGTGAAAACTGCACATATATCTAATCCTGACAAAGCAATGAATAGGCCTTCACAAGTATAATTATACTTGTTTATTTGTTACCACGTACAGAGAGCTGATGAAAAAATCCATCAAAGTGGTATTATGCAGACACCAAGAGCTTCTTTTCTTTGGTTGCTAAAGCCACATTGAAGCTTAAATTCCTTATTGTTAAATTCAGAAGAAAAGGGAAGAAAAAAAGATTTTGGGTAGACTTTTTTGCATCAGTTACTGACAGATCTTTTGTGTATAGTGCTGTATTATTAGATGCATTAGCTAGAGACTTGCTCACTCAGCTCACTCGTTTTAGACCATACAGGAATCCATAATTATAAAGTACTGTACACAGTACCTTTTAAACAGGGTGTGGCAGGCATTTGGCTGACCACAACTTGAACAGATTTAAAAACAGGCCATTTTCTCACAGTTTGGTTATTCAGAATACTCAAACACAGGTAAACTACCTGCACAAAAATCATGGGTGACTAATTCAACTCTTCTAAATTAAGACACACAGCATTGGCTTATGTAGTACAGAATATAGCAGAAAGGAAACTTATCAAGGTGCTTCTGTAATGGAATTCTAGCCTAGATGCCATATGTCTTCCTTACAGAGGCTTTCTATATAGCCATCTAAAACCTGTTTCTAGCCCCTGAACCAAAAAAACAAAAACAGGAACTACTGAAATAACTGCAACATACTGTAGCAGTTGTAAGGCAGATGGAAAATATTTTTTTCCAGACCAAAACTACAATGCATTACACTCTTAACATACCCTAAAACAAACAGTTTTGCAATTGCATGTTTTGAGGATTCAGAGTTGGGGGAAGGGAGTCAAACAAGGGTTTTGTTTTCTTCTTCCTTTACAGAATAGAACTATATCAAAGTAAAAGCAATATGCATAGTTAATGTCTTTGTGAGCTTTCCAATTTAAAACAGAAAAGCTGTAATTTTTCTTTGCTGGCAATCTGGAAACACTCTGGAGTTAATTACAGCTGATTCGAAGTGAACGACACAAACAAAGACCAGTCTATGTCCAGACAATTATACTGCGTAGCAGGGCTCTTCTATTACACCCTTCTACCTTCCCAGCACGATAGAAAATGCTTCTGCAAGAAGGAATTAATGAAGAGAACTGCAAAAGAATGTGTGACGACCTCTCCTGACATGGCA